TCCAGGGTTTGCTGATTTTTGCCAAATTTTTGCAAAACAACTATGATCTTGCTGATTTCAACAGTTTTTGCTGATTAATTGCCTCGGGTTTATGATTTCAGTGAAGCCATGGCAGCGAGAAGGGGCTATAGAAAGGGGATTTTTGTAGTTCCGCACCGTGATCCCATAGATTGCAGAATTGAGGAACTTGAAAGGCAAGTTCGGCAGCTAGTGCAGCAGTTCGCAAGCCTCAATAAAGGGCAAGGCGGCAATCTTTCAGCCCAGGAGGATCACGAGTACACGCCCTTTCTTTCACTTTTGCGCTCCACGTGGGGAGTCGAATGTTGAGGATAGCAATAAAAGACCTAGATGTGGGGAATATCACTCTAGGGTTTTCAATCTGAAGGATGAGACTTTTTATTCTGACACAGATGACGTAGAAAGTCAGCAAGTTGTAGAATGGGATTCACCACCAATTTTCGATATATACTCAAATGAACAACAAGATTTCTTAGGATATTTGATCTATGATAAGGATCAAAATGACGATGAAGAGATTTTGAAAGAGGTGAAGAATATGGTGAGAAGGCAGCCGGAGGATTGATCAAAATCATGGCCTTGAAGATCTCATTAATATCTAAGAGGTAGTGCATTCAAGAAATTCAGGGTATTGGAATCAGAGTAGTGTAGTGGAAGCATGGTCGATTCAGAATCGGCAAATTGTGGCCTTGATTCCTTAATATACATATCAGAATCCGTTTCTTGAGGAATTATTTTTACCACGAATAATATTTGAGCCAACAAAGAAAAAAAAGGTTACAGGAAATGTTTTTTATGATGAATTCCTCTTTAGCACACTTCAAACCTCTAGGCTAAGTTTTCTCCAACTAGGGGAGAATGATGGAGGGCAAAGAGTATTCTTATTTTTTATTTACATTCAACTTTAAAGGATGTATATTATAGTTTTAGTTTTAGGATTTATTTATAGGTTTTTTTATTTTTTAGGGATCTAGGATTTTTAGTTTTTTATTTACTTCATAAGTACTATTCAAAAGTATTGTTCACAGGTACTGTTCATAGGGGTAAAACTGTCATTACAAAATTTAAGTTTAAGTTAGCCTATATAGGTCATTTTAATCATTATATGGACAGGTAATGTCTTTGAAAATTGAACTACAATATATGAGGTGTGGGGCTACAATATATGAGGTGTGGGGCGTTGAGAGAGTCAATTTCGACATTTTTAGAAATTGAAATAAAGAAAAGCATAAGCTTTTGGAACCCTACTTTGGGGAATGGAAAGAAACCCTAAGTTTCTGACTTATGCTTGTGTTTGGCTTTCTTTCTTACTGATTTCTTTGTGGCAAGATCCTTCACGAACACAAGTCAAGACTAGATCTTAAGCACTTCAAACCATCAACTAGTTGCGACTTGAAATAACATTCCACTTAACTTTTGAAACTAAAAAGGAATTAAGCAAAGAAAAGAAACCCAAATATGAGAAGAGAATGGCAGTTCCAACTCCAATGATGAGAGGTGTAGTGTCATCCCCTGTAATGACTTTCCCTTTACCAACATACAGAACCAAGAAAGAAAACATACATGCATCAGATGCCACATACCTGTCATCCCCAATATTCATAATCCAAGATGTGAAAATGGGTTGGGGTTATGATATGCTCAGATTGGAAATTGAATGCGTCAAGCCAGTAAGAATATATTAAAACACAAGATCATGATGGGAAACACTGGGAGGTTGTGGTTCATTTGTTTCCACAAAGCTGACATATAGTGGACTGGTTGGCACTGGCATGCTAAGAGGATAGTGGCAAAATTCCCTGGGGATTATGACCTCGTTGTTGATTGTTATAACCAGCATATAATTGATTTCTATAATGTCAGTAAGGGGTATAGAACTGACCCTGTCCACAACCGCGGTTATTTTTTCCTCTTCCACAGCCTCTAGTAGAAATTAGAGATTTAAGAAATGACATTTAAGACGTCATGATTCTCTTCTTCAGCTTCAACTGATTTTGCTTGCGTAAGGCTTCATGCTGCAATAATAGAATTCAGAGCTCATTGAAACTAGGTGTGGGTGGTCTAGACATGGCCAATGTGACAAATATGTCAAATTCATCACCAAATCCTCCAAGCAGGTTGAGTACTTTATCATTATCGCAAATCTCATGGCCATTTACAACTAGTTGATAACAAAGTCCTCTCACCTTTTTTTTACCTGTAGTTTTCTCGCACTCCCACGCATCACATCACATACTTCTTCAACTTGGGCTTTGACAAGACTTACCTAACGACAAAACTCGTTGGGGTTGCCGGAGGTAATATTCTCTCACTTACACTGTTGGAGTTGGCAGGAATATGCATCTGTTTCATCTCCTTTTTGTCATTTTTAACAACAATCTCTTTTTCAATGTGGTAGATGAGAAGATAAGGTTCCATCACGATGTCCCATCAGTCTTAGCCCATGTAGGAATGAAAAAATTTGACTATTCCAGCTCATGAAGTTGGTAGAGTCCAATTTAATAGAGACCATATGTGGGAGCATATCGGGGGACATGGAAAAATTTGTAAGATGAGGAAGCCATATTTGAGGCAAAAGGAGAAAAATCTTTGAATTTTAGAAAACATAAACAGTAAGGAAGCTTAGATTTGAATTCAAATTTATGACGAATTAGGACTTCAGGCTTCTAGAACGGAATCGAGGTTTCAAGAATTAGGGCTTTCAAAGGATTAGGTCTTTCGGTAAGTAATGGAATAGTTCCCCCCCATGGAAGGTAACAAACTCCAAAAGAAGAGAGTGAGGAAATGATAGAAGGGAGAAATATGAGGGATGAATGAGAAGATCAAAAGAGTTTGTGGGAGAACATCAAGATGAAGAAAAATATATGAAGTCAGCAGATCTGATTCGGGATTTTCGGATCTGATTTGAGAGAAACAAAGGGCGGAAGTCGAATTAATAAGATTTAAAGTAGAAAGGAAAATTCATATTTGATTTAATGAGAATAATTGATAAGGTGGAATAATACTGATTAAAAGTGGAAAGAAATTGAGATGACATGGAGAAGGTTGGGATATGCAAAAATAAAAGTAGAAAGGAAAATTCATAGTTGATTTAATCAGAAGAATTGATAAGGTGGAATAATACTGATTAAAAGTGGAAAGAAATTGAGATGACATGGAGAAGGTTAGGATATGCAAAAATAAAATTCGAGATGAGAAAGAAATTAGGATTGAAGAAAAAGAGGATAGGATTGAGAACTGATGTGAAGGACATTGGGGTTTGAGATGAGAATGAGTTAGACTCAAAAAGGGGAGAATAGAATTAGGGTTTCTAATATTCAAAAAGGGAAAGAAATAGAATTAGGGCATGAAAATTATTCAGGAAGTAAAGAAAAACAGAAGATAAGCAAGAGTAGAGAGGAATGGGTGAATGAAGGCTGGATTGTCAGACAAGCTTAAGTTTTGGACGTCGCCACACACACACACACACACACACACACATATATAAAGATTGTAAGATTACATATATACCCAGAGCAATGTCATTTATGACATATAATCATACTCTAAACTAAGACAATTAGAAAGTCAATTTACAAGTCCGCCCTAGCAGAGAAAGCTATATCTTTAGTAGTAATAAGCTTAATTATGGAAGAGGTAGAAAAGGGAAATAAGCAGCCGTTACAATAGGTAATGTCGTACAGGAAATTAGTGAAGTTACTCATTGTGCCAAACCTTTGGAGTTTGTTAATTAGACCTATTTAGGTCTCAAAAACGTTTGGAGTTCTAGTGCACTCCCTCCTTCAGGGATTTGGAAATAGAAATCAGTTTATTTAGTATCTATAGCTGGCAATAAGAGTCTATTGCCTTTTGATGTAGGAAATCTGAGAAAGCAGTAAAATCTGTAAGGAACTAGCCAAACACAAGCACAAGTTGAAAAAACCTATAGTTTCTTCTCCGTACCCCAAGCCAGTCGTCCAAAAACTTAAGCCTTTCTTTCTCTCTCAATTTCTAAAAATCATGTGGAATTACCCCCTCAAGGCCCAACACACCTCTTATATATTTTAATTAATGTTCAAAGCAATTAAATATCCATACAATAATTAAATGACCTAAGAAAACCCCTAACTTAAACACAATTTGTAATGACATCTGTGAACAGTAGCCCGTGAGTAGTACCCGTGAATAGTACCCATGAATAATAACTAGTGAATAGTAACTAAAAATATAAAAAATCCTAGAATTCCTAAAACAACTTTAAAACCCTAAAAATAAACGCTAAAACTAAAATCAAAATATGCATCATTTGAAAATAAATAAAAAATTTAAAAAAGAATAAATTTATCCCGCATCACCTTTGCAAATCAAAAACCTTTACGAGGAAAGAGCACATCCTTTAAGGCAACTTAAAAGTTGTTGGGGTTGGAAACGTCAATAACACAAGTTAGAAGATAAGCCAGCCAACATAGTTGTGAGTCCTGACAGGTGAGGTACTTGAAGGGGGAATTTGAAGCAATAGAGATGCCTCTACTCCTATTTCTAATTGGACATAACATCTATACTACAACACCAAGATTACCTATATGTTACCACATTAGCTAAGTGATTCAATTATTTTCCTTCCTAGCTAACAATCATGATCACATACCTCCAAGCAGGACTCCACATGTCCAGAAGCAAAAAAGAACAAAAGAGAGAGACACATAATCAAAAGCAATACAATTAAATTAACAAATGACATAAACACCTGAGCCCCAGTTAAAGGTCATGCCCTCCATTCTCACTAACACTTTCAAAAAATTCTCTTTCCAAAATGAGTAAGGGCCTGTAATCCCCACCGATCTACCCACAACAACAAAAACAAACTGACATAAACAAATTCAATCAGAAATGCCAACGACAACATTACTGATTAGTCTATTTCTGGAAACAATAAAGGGAAAAGGAAAAGCTATATATAAGAATCATTTCTACTTTTTAAGTTCCATATAAAGAGACAGTACCAGATTCCTTGCTGTTTTCCCTGTATCTTTTCGCGAGTGAACAAAGACCATAGCCTGATATCCATGCTTCAATGAATCTACAACCTGATACAACAATATGCATAGGTAGGTTTAACATAGAAAGAAAACTTCATCTAATAAAGCAATGATTACTTAAATGCAGCTTTAAAAAATATACTATAGCAGATTTCATGTAAAAGAAATCCATGTGGAATAGCAAACCTTATTATAGCAGATTTCATTCAGAAGATCATTACGAGCAGCAAAGTTCTTCTCAGTTATGCCAATATATTGCTGAGCAAGGGGAACAGGACGGTAACTAGAATCAAAGAAGAATAACCCCTTCTCAGACACCCTCAAAAATTGCGCCACCTATATGATGTAGCCGAGAAACCATGAGAAATGAAGTAAACCATGTGAAAGAACAGAAAGCAAGGGGAACAAATGACACATTAACATGCGCGTCAATTTTGTGAAGTTCAGTGCCCTGCAGACCTCCAAATAATTAGGCAGTGTGGCCGAGAGACCCACAATCCGTATCATGGTTTGTGTTGACTCCACCTGTAGAAATTTGATTAAAAGAAATTGCCGATAAATAAGGTCTCCAGTACTTCCAATTACAAAAGGCCCATCAATGTCATTCCAGAAAGTCTTGACTCTTGAGTTGCTTGTAAATTACAATAATTTAAAATCAGGAAATAAACCATCATTGTGGCCAAAAATGTTTCGACCTCATATTGCAGCTTCTACATTTTCATCTGCCAAGAGCACAGCAAAAACATGCATATTTTCCCAGTGACATTTCTTACCTGGCGAAGAGTCCGTGCAACTAAAGCTTCAATTACAGGACCTCTATCATCATTTAGCAGATGCACTTCATCAATTATTAAGAGCTTCACAAGCACTGATAGCGACATATCATTGCTCTTGCGGGTAATCACATCCCACTTCTCAGGTGTTGTCACTATCATCTGAATCACACAAGAAAATGTAGCCATTATTTATCATTCCTAGACAATATGAAAGAAAAATCAATGATACAGTTTCAAGCACGTGCAGCTACCTGCGTTTGCTCAAGTTCATTCTTTGTAAGCTGCATATCTCCTGTAAGCTCTCTGACATTCAAATTCAAGGGTGCCAAACGATGACTAAATGTAGACGCTACCTCAGCTGCTAAGGCCTGAAATGAAATGCCTATGCAGTATGAGTAACCAAAAACTTACATCAAAGTTCACATTAGACGAAAAAAAAAAAAAAAAAGAATCTGAGAGGAAACCTTCATAGGAGCAACATAGACAACTTTGAATTCATCCCTTAGCAGAATACCATTCTTAAAATGCTGCCCAATCTGCAAAAATGTATATGTTTCACTTTCTAAATTACACACTTTTGAGTGTAAAAATAAGTAAAACTTCATATTCTAGATAGAAAAGAACAAGATCAATGTCAATTTTCAAGAGAAAGAAGCACAAATTATCATAGTTTGAAACTAGTTCATCCAAGTGCTAACCTCATGCAGGATAGTAATCATTGCAATATTTGTCTTGCCAGCACCAGTTGGGGCACAGACCTGCCACAGATGTCCCCAAGAAATAAAATTGGAAAGTAGCAGAAGAAATATGGCTCTGGAGAACCTTAGTTTAATTGAAGCAGCACCCAATTGCATGTTCTACAAAATTTGTTAACAGTAGGTATACTTCCTGATCCGTACCAGGATATTTTCGTTAGTGTAATATGCAGTGCGAAAGATCCAGCTTTGTATACGGTTTAAACTTTTGTAACCACAAAAAGCAGCTTGAGAAAAATCATCTAACTCTGATATTTCAATCTGGCAGAAGAGACATCAAGCTGGTACAATGAAACAAAACAAAGAAAAGCACAAGCTACAAGTAGAAAGCTGCAAAGAAACTTTGAGAAGAATGCGGCAACCTGTCAGGATAGCATCAAGTCCAAGATAACTTAACTATTAACCTAAATAGTTCAAGCCCAGAAGCAGATGATATACACCACAACTGATAGTATCTAATCGAAATATTTTCAAGAAATGATTGGGCCAAAAAATTTGAGTTAGCTGTCTACAGGATTCCCTTCAAATATCAGAATCAATCAACAATATTTAAACATGTTCTTTGCTTGATATAGGCTACTTGCATGAGTTACCTAATTACATTCAACCAAATTTCAACTATTCTGCTGGTGCGTGTCTTAAATTCCAAAAAGAAAAAGCATCCCTATTTTCTTTCATTTCCTTTATCGTTAAACAACAGCACTGAAAAAAGGGAAAAGAAGAAAATGCTTAGGAGTGGAGTGATGAGAAAATACCAGTTTCTCCCCAGGTTTCATTGGTGATGTTGATGTTGGAGGAATTCTGACTTCTTCATATCCCCTATAGGAATTCCTCACAGTTCCTTGAGGAAGAGCAGTAGCATAAGATGAATCCTGACCTTTCCCAAACAGATCATCACAAGGCTGTTTCTTTTCACTTGCAAGGAGCAAAGATGAAAAGTTCAATACTGTTGAAAATTCATTATCAACCCCACGGTCTGCTCCTCGTTTATATCGCTTTTCTTCCTTGCGTCGAAGCTTATCAATTTGACGTTCAGATTCCATTTTAATAGTGACCTGGATGATGTACAGGTAGTTTTTCCCTTAAACTCCCACCCTATGCGAACCGTTATTTAAACCAATTCTCCGAAGTATATCTCATGCATGCACAAAGCAATGATACACTGAATAAAACTTTTACAAGCGATAGCAAGTTAACCTGAGTTCCGTAGCTAGGCATCCGTGGTTGAGTAGTTGAGGCCACTTTCTCAGTCCTCAGATTTAAAAACCCATGACGAATAGCATCTACCAATTTCTTTCGATTCTGTAAACGTCATTCAATTAAACTTATAAGAAAGGAACTGCAGTTTCTTCAGATCAATTATAGACACACAAAAAGCAGCCCAACACTAGGCAAAGCAATATTGAGACTGCTATTTATCCAACTCGTCCGTACGAAAAGCCAACATAGCTGTTCATAAGATTTAACACAATAATGAATAACTTAAAAACAAAAACAAATAAATTCTAGCAATATTTTTCTAAATTGCACAAGCTCAGTGGCTCAGCCAATAGATCCAGACATGCATTGAATATCCAACGAGTCCTGCTCAATATCAGTGACAAAAGGCATTCAAACAAGAATGATCAGGTGCTGAAAATACAAGCCTTACAGATAAGAGTTCTTCGATCATGTCAAACGAACTGTCTCCGACGAGGTCTAACAAGTCACCGGCAATCTTCATAACATAAGAAAATGTTTCAACCAGTCAGAATTTAACATGCCATAAAAATAGAAACTGCCACTATGTTTGTCGAAGCATCTCGAAAACAAAATCGAAGCTTCTATAAAACAGAAAAAAAGTAGTAACTATTACAGTACCTCATCACCAGGTTTATCTGATTCGAGCACTCGACAAATGGCCATGGCTAATTCATCTCCAGAAAGCTGTGAACCACCTCCCTTGACTATCTGATCACATATATCTTTCAGCCATCTTAAACTTGCATTTCCTTTGCCAGCACCATCAACAGATATATCAAAATCATGTGGCTTCTCTGGCAGTATACCATAACCTCCAAAGTTTTCATCAAAGGAACCTTCCTCAATATCATGAGAAACATCTCCCACCAAAAACCGGCCTGGTGCTTTGAAAACAAGGTTGATGCCAAATTCACATGAAGATTCATCAACTTCATCAACTTTGCCAGGTGCATCCCCATGTTCTATTGACTGCAAAGACCAGACCTTATGAGCTAGGGAGGCAGCTTTCTGCAAGCTAGCATCAGAGGCTGTATGTCCCAGAAGTGCTTGCAGCTCTCTTCTAAATGCACATTTCAGAGAAAAGCAGTCTCAAATCAGTATCTATTTCTGAAACATAACACTAAGCAGCAAACCAAACCTCCAACTATGCATTAAGCATGTAAAGGGAAAATGAGCCATAGTAATTTTTGACTTACTTCTTGCTAGTGATTGTTTTACTCCAACCTGAATCCACTCCTAAAGCACAAAAAATGTCATAAACAGTTTTTGCTACCATTTGGACTTCCTCTGATGTCACCTCGCCGTCTATCAACTCTAGCACAGACCCAAGAAACTCTCTATACACCTGTTGTAGATCAATTGAGGCTGCAATAGGAAGGAAGCCACTATGAAAACATGGAAACCGAAAGACAACAAATGTGCAGGTAACAGTAACTACTAAAGGAAGTAGGAACAGAATGCATGTGGATGCACAATGAGCTGAAATGTATGAATCTTCTTTTCTTATGACAAGAACAGATCATAAATGAAAATAAAAGCGAAGTATTTCCAAGTGTTATTTGAGCAAGTTTAATTAACAATCAATGAACAACATCAGAGGTTCCACATTTAAGAAATACTGATCCCAAATTCCTTCGGACAAAAGACCAGTGTGTGAATTGTACCACACCTGCAAGAAAAAGGTTTCTGAAAATGAAGAACCAAAGTATGCTCAGAGCCAATTATCGAAACTCACAAACATACAAACTCTAGGTCATTTCAAGTCACCAGTAATACCTTGCAGAAGTTATTAGACAAAAACTCTCATAAAAAATCAGTGGGATTGCAATGATTTACCCATAAAAGGATACAAAACGAACACGAGAAAGCAACAAAAGAAGAAAGTAAAAAACAACATTGAGATAATATTAGTGCCTACAAATGAAAGATACCAAAGAATAAAATAAAGCAAAAAATACCCAAAACGGACCACGATACTGCTTTTAAAATTAAGAGAGGAAACTGTTACCTCAAGTTGCTTACCAATAAAGCAGACAAATAGAGAAGTAAATAATGCAGGGAGAAGAGAAAGAAAACAAAAATATCAAACTGGTGGGGAGTCACCCAATAGAAAGGTCCTGCCTACTGTTGCCTGCACGTAATAGTGAAACCACTAGGTCATCGCCCCTTCTTGGAACATGCTAAAAAGTGACTGAAGGCTCTCGACAAAGATCATGAATCTCCTCTATAGTGTCCGCGAGTTGTCACGGAGAGGGGCCACACTGTTGAATCCAACAAATGGTTTATGGAATCACCCTCAATTAGTATGGGGCCCGGGAACGATTTAAAGAAATATATGCGACCCCATGAGCATGTCCAAAGCTTCAGCTCTATTGGCATTTCCAACCCCACTTGAGCCTGTACAAGCAATACGAGTAAATCACAAATGATATCTAATGACAACCCCCACACCAGATGCACCATGGTTAAAAAAATTACTCCCAACAAAGCTGACTTTAAGTACCACCAGAAAAGCCCATTCAATGAACAATCTTCTGGTGCTCAATTATTTGTCACCTCCGACCATTTCCACATCAAGTCCTCATATGAAAACCTTTTTTTTAGCAAGGGTCCAACAGCTGAACATGTCTCTTACTTGATTTTCTACAACACCGGGTCTCGGAAACTTCCCCTAAAATAATTCTGTTCCACTCTAAGCATAATCTAATAAAATGGGATCACAGCTGAGTTTTGACAATGTACTACCTTTTTTCTTACAAAGGTGCAATATCTCTAACTTGCAACCACCTAAACTGGTGATCTTGGAAAAGCCCAATGTGCCTCAAAGAGGCGAGGCATATGAATCCAAATTTCCCTCGCGTAAGGGCAATCAATAAATAGGCCCACTGTCTTCATTGTCACTGCCCATGAGGCAATGGAAGTTGTACACCCCAATGCCTTTTCTGATGGAAGTTAACATTAAATAAAACGAGTTACATCGATACTGTCGATACTGTGAGGTTCACCAGGCATGGACCCCAGCAGTTTCGTGGTCCCTGAGTGGAGGACCAAAAGAGACGAATGAGAGGGGCTTATAAATATGCCCAGTTACAAAAGCGGACAAAAGGATAGCAGGGTAGGGGCTTATAGATTTGCCCTTTTACAAAGACTATGCAAAAGTGAACAAAAGAAAACTGGGTAGGGGCTTATAAATTTGCCCTTTTACACAGACTATATAATTATCATCCTGTTATATATGTTGCCGAGCAGCTGCTTTAGCGAGTGCGTCTGCGGTTGCGTTTACGGTCCTCCGAGTGTGCTTCCAAGTCACTACCAAGTCCTTGCATAAGTGATCGATCTCATCAAAAATATGGCCCATATACCAAGGTGGATCGCTTTTCCCAGAACCCCACTTAATGATGTTTTTGGCGTCTCCTTCAATCTGTAAGATTCTACCCCAAGAATGATTAAAATTCTTGATTCCAATTAGTAAGGCCTTGGCTTTTGCTATTTGCGAGTCCTTTATTCATATGTATTCTGAGTAGGTGAGGACTTCTCCTTCATGATTTCTATACACTCCCCCAATGCCTACCGGACCAGGGTTTCCCAAGGATCATCCATCAAAGTTGAGCTTTATATGGCCCTCTGAAGGGGGAGACCATCGAGGGACACTTTTACCCCTGTGATGGCTAAGATTAAGGAGATTTTCGCATTCTCACATAAAGGAAGAGGCGGAGATACCGACAAATAATTTATGATGGGAGGCCCAAAAAATAACAGAGGATGTTATTTTTTGGAACAGGGTCTGGAGTGTATTCTTTTCCCCTCGAAAGATCCTAGAGTTTCTTTCCCCCCAAATGTGCCAAAGGGTAGCAGCTACTGAAGCTTTCCATAGAATTTTCCCAGATTTCCTCCAATTGTCCTCGTTGGACTGGGGCTAACAGAGCCTGGACTAAAGGTGGAAGCACCCGCGAGAGTCTGAATAGCTGAATAAGAAAACTCCAAACTGAGTATGCAAAGTTGCAGTGTAATAACAGATGAGTTACAGTATCTTCTTCCTTAAGGCACATTACACATCGGTTATGAAATTGAAATCCTCTTTTCTGAAGGTTGTATATGGTGAGGGGTTTTCCTTGAGCCGCTAACCACTGAAAGAACTGAGCCCTTGGTGGAGCGATAGACTCCCACGCTCTGTTTGATGAGTCGACTATGTCTGTCCCATCTACCCAGACCATATAGAAGGATGTTACTGTGAACCTCCCTGAGGGGGATGGGGTCCAAATCATGGAATCCATCCCTGACTGCGATAAGTAAACTCCATGGACTTCAGAACTGAGTGTAGCAAAATGAAGGAGTTCGTCATCAATAAGAGACCTTCTAAAAGATGGGTTCCACTTCCTACTATTGCCAAAGAGAGTCATTTTGTCTGCTATCATTGACTCTTTACAATTGGAAATGGCAAAAAGNGAGGGGAATCTGTCTTTGAGTGGTGATAAGCCAAACCACAGATTCTCCCAAAACCTCACTCTATTTCCTCCTCTTGCATGAAACCGAATGTTAGTTCTGAACCGAGGGAGGATGGATACCAGAGTTTTCCAAATACCAGATCCTGTGGAGTGGGAGTTGATCTCTGGCAGCCACATTTGTGAGGAGATATTATATTTGCTTCTTAGCACCTACGTCCAAAGTTGGTTCTCGTGATTTGCTAGCCTCCACCACCATTTCCCCAAAAGAGCCCAATTCTGTTTCCTTAGGTCTCTTATTCCCAAACCTCCCTTCTTCTTGTGGGTGCAAATCTTGTCCGAAGATATTGAGTGGATTTTCTTAGTATCTGCTGAACCTGACCAGAGGAAGTTCCTCATAAGCTATTCTATCTTTTTAGTGGCTGAAGCTGGAATTTGCTAGAGCGACATAAATTAAATCGGGGTATTGGCAAGAGAAGCTTTGATGAGAGTGCATTTGCTAGCCATAGACAGATATCGCCCTTTCCATCCTACCAATCTTGTACCAATTCTATCAAAAACCTGGGCCCACAGTTGCTTATTGGGTTTGCCAAGGCCTGGGGGAAGCCGTAGGTAGGAGGTTGGGATTTCTTCCACCGCGCACTCCTAATCCAAGATAAAGTTCCTGGTTAGGGAAGAATTTAGACCAACCCCAATCATTTTAGACATACCCATATTGACCTTAAAACCAATGGTCACTTCAAAGCAAGCTAGGAAGATTTTTAAGTTCTGAACTTCGAGCATATCAGCGTCAAGGAATATCAACGTGTCATCTGCATATTGCAAGTGTGACACGCTTGGCCCCCTTCTACTTGTTTTGAAACCAGAGAGTAGGCCAGCCGGAAAGATCCTGGAGATGGATTGGCTGAAAACCTCTCCCACTATAGTGAAAAAGAAAGGGAAGAGGGGGGTCTCCTTGTCAAAGACCCCTAGACAAAGGAAAGAAGCCCTTAGGAGAGCCGTTAACTAAGACAGAGAAGTAAGGACTAGAGTAGCACCCTTTCATCCACATTCTCCATCGCTCACCAAATCCCATCCTGGTTAGGGTTTGTTCTAGGATAACCAATCGACATGGTCATACGCCTTCCCACAGATAATTTTAAAGATAAGGCCTGGCTTTTTTTTGTTTATTGCGAGAGTGAATACACTCATGAGCTACCAGCGACCCATCCAGTATTTGTCTGTTTTTAATGAAAGCTTACTGGGATGGAGATATGACCACATTGAGGGCCTGTTTAATCCTGGAAGCAAGGACTTTGGAAAGGATCTTGTACGAGGAAGTTAAGAGGCTAATAGGATGAAAGTCTTTAATGTCATGTGCTCCCTCTAACTTAGGCACCATCACTATGAAAGTTGCATTGATAGCTTTATTAAATCTTCCACGCCTATAGAATTCCTCAAAAAACAGGTGGAAATCTTCCTTAAAGGTGGTCCAGTATGTTTTGAAGAAAGCCATGGGGAAACCGTCTAGACCGGGCGCCTTGTCAGAGGCCAAGTCATTCACTGCCCTCTCAATTTCTTCCTCAGAAAACGGACTCTAGCCAATCTGCTCTATGGGTGGGGAGGGTTTTGAATTCTTGATCTCCCATGCTGGGTCTAGGTAGGTTTGGAGCTGAGTATAGATTCCTGAAGTAGGAGATGATGGCTCCTTCTATTTCTGGTGCAGAATCAAACACCAATTCGCCAACTTTGATGTTCTAAATGAAGTTAGTTCGGCGTCGGCTATTCGCTACTCTGTGGAAGAACTTGGTATTTAGGTCCCCTGACTTAAGCCATGAGACTCTAGACCTTTGATACCAGTAAAGCTCTTCTTTTTTAAGGGTGGAGAGGTACTCCTGTTTAGTTGATTGTCTAAGGTCGGCTTCTGCATATCAGAGGGGTCTG